TAGAAATGACAGTGCGGATGGGGCCCCTGGGTGGCAAGTTGGTTAAGTGTCCTCTTGGTTTTGGCTCAGGTCATGATTTCATGGGTCCTGAAATTGAGCCCTGTATGGGGCTTTGTGCTCAGCAGAGAGTCTGCTTAAGTTTCTCTCTGCCGCTTGCTTAGTTTTCTCTCTCTCTCTTTCTCAGATAAATAAATAAATCTTAAGAAAAAAAAAAAAGACGTGAGAGTGGGCACTGATGCAGAAGGAGACCACACTATTTAGGTAAATATTTTTTGGTGTTGTGTATCAGTAGCATGTCAAAGATTTTCTTCACTATCTATACATTAGTTACCCAAAGAGAAAGCACTGTTGTGAATAGCAAAAACAGAAAGGATTGTGAAAAGCTGCTTAGTGGGCCTGTTTCAGAGGGCCAGACCAAATATAAATATGGGTAGAAATAAGGATATGCAGCAGACTCAGCATTATCATCAATGAGACAAAAGAGAAGGGACATGCTGAAGAGCCCTGCTGGTAATGCCCACTTTTGTACTGCTTGGTGGTTGTAGGTTGGCTTCTAATGGAGCAGACTTAGTCATGCCAATTGCATCATGCAGATTCATGGCCAAGATAAAGTGAAAATATTTCCATTGGCCATGAGGGTAATAGAGGAAACTGCTCCTACTTTATATCAAACATTAAGACTGAACATACTTCTACTCTAATAAAAGTGAGTAAACAAAAGCAATAAACAACTTGGTGCCTATACCAAAAATCTGCAAAATACGTGAAGGTAAATATAGCACTCAGGTTACAGTAGGAAAATATTTTCTAAAAATACTTAGTACAGGAAGAAGAATATTTGGTATTGAAAACTTTGCTTTATATAAAAAATATCAATAAAACATAGCCCTCTGAAATAAGATAAAGTTGAGAGGATAAGAAAATAGAGTTGAAGTGAACTACACACTTATTTCTCCTGTAGCCATACTTTGCATTTCTGTCTCCATCTTCCTTCACTCTCACCTCCACTCAGCCATTTACTTTCAGGGAAGCTAATTCTATCCTCGAGGATAGGCATGTGGCTGATGCTTCAGGCCTAGCTTTACCAAAGCAGTTTTATGCCCAGGTTCTAGATGCTTATTTGGGTGGGCTCAGGGCTAGCTTCAAAGGGGGCAACGTGTGCAGTTACACAGGGTCGCTGTATTCAGAAGGGACTTGCACTAGGCTTAAGGCTCTGTTGTTGCCATCTTGAAATTCTTAATTCTATATTTGAACTTGTGTTTTGCAAGTCAAGTCAAGGAGACAATGAAGCATGTGTGGGAGCACAGGAGGTACCTGCTCTAAGTGTGTCTGCCACTAGTCGCATATAGCATCTGCAGTGTCTCGTGAGCTGAGCACAAAACGCCTGTGGCCCCATGATGTGTGGGAGTTCAGGAAGTCTCAAAGTTAGTACAAGGTGTTTTGTATCTACGACTGAGTGAGAGCACTGACAGCCCCAAGAGGCCATGCTTTCCCTTTAAACCAGACTTTGCTCCAAACAGAGAGAAGGCAGTGGAGTCCTAAGAAATGATTAAGGAATCCATCATACCTTTTCTCACTCATGTAACTTCTCTTATTAGCCAACCACTTACATTAAAAATGATGATATAGAGAAATGAATTAGAAAGATAGAACAAGCCTGTCAGTCTTTTCCTTTCTTACTAATGAATACACTGAAGGTAGAGCGATGGTAGAGTGTATACAGAGCAAGGGGAAAAAAAAAAGAGAGAGAGAGAGACCAACCAAGAAACAGACTCTTAACTATAGAGAACAAACTGATGGTTACCAGAGGGGATGTCAGTGCGGGGATAGGTGAAATAGGTGATGGGGATTATGGAGTGCACTTGTGCTCAGCACTGGGTGATGTATGGAAGTGCTGAATCACTATATTGTACACCTGAAACTAATACAACACTGTATGTTAACTATACTGGAATTGAAATGAAATAAATTTTTAAAAGATTAAAAAAAGAACTAAAATAAAAACATTGGTTTTGTGCAGGTTTTGACAATACTGGTAAGAATAAAATATGTATGCAAATACCACCTATAAATTGTGCAGTTTGGGTGATTTTGCATTAAATCTGTTAAATACTGCTCTATTTGCATTTAAGACTGGCATTGCACCATATAAAGATGAATGGTAAAATGCTTACTCATAATTTAAAGTTTTTATTTTTGTTTACTTAGAATCACATTCAATAGCAAATATAAAACCCCATGACAAATCAAGTAAAGACTACAGGAAAAATGAAAAAGCTTTATATTTTACCACACTTAATAGCATTTTTTAAATGACTTTTGAGCTCTTCATTTTCATTTTGCACTGAGCCCCACAAATTACATATCTAATATTGGGTAGGGAAGTATATAATCCAATTTGGGCCAAGAAGATTGTAGATGATGTTTGCTGAGAGCCACCAGGAAAAATGTTTCTTTGCCTTCTGAGTGTTTCTAGAAGAGATGCAACTTCTCTTTCCTTGGACATGTAGCTGCAGAAATATTGGGAAGTACTAAGACCCTAATTAGGATTTACCTTTGGATGAAGGTGACACTATCAGAGGGCAGATAAGAAATCAATAACACCAATAAATACCCATTGAATGGAAGACTAAATGAAGTCAACAGATCTTAAAAAGTTTGAGTAGGGTTTTTTTAAATAAAATTTGTTAACTGATATTGTATAATACTTAGATGAAAAGAGAGCTAGATATAAGTCAGAGGTAATTTAAATACAGAACTAAGAAAAAATTAGAAAATATTGTACAGAAGATAAAATGGTTTAACAGAATCAGAAACTGCATTAAAATAATAAAAAGAAAACTCCACAAGCTGGATAAAGCAAATCAATAATGTGAACAAACTTGAAGTGTTATTTGCAGATGCAGACAATGGCGCAAGCTTAAAACAATGAGAGAAAGTTGATATAGAGGGTAGGTAACAGTTATCCAACATATTTATGATACCTTTTCTAACAATAATCTAAAATATTCTGAGTACAAGGAAGATCCAAATCCTTTCAAAAGAATTAATCAAGTTACAAGCAAAATTAGTAAAATAGATTAGCACTTGAAATAACCTGGTGATATTTTATATCTCAAGAATAAAGAAAGAATGTACAAGCATTGAAGCAGAGAAAAACAGATTATCTTCAAAAGAAGTAAAATCCAGCTACTCAGATTTCCCTTGCCAATAGTAAATGTCAGAAAACAGTGGAGCAATATAAAAATAGTTTTGAGGAAAAGAGTTATGGTTCAAGATTCCTAAACCCAGCCAAGTTGTGATTAGTATGTGAAGTCAACACAAACATACACTGCCATATATAAGACTCAGAAAACTTTCTATCCATAGACTTACTAAAAAATATTTTTCAAAAATGCAATTCAGTCGACCTAACCATGAATCAATATAACCAGTGTCCCCAAGTCCTCTAAACTTTAAGATTACCCTCCTTATTAATGCTCAACTAAGTATTTTTGGAGAGTCAATCCAAAGAGTGTGGAGGGAAGATAATGTTCTCCCAAATATTTCTTAGGATCCAAAAGATCTGTTTTATTACATAACTCCCTTTGAACTGTAGCTCTTGCCATCTCTTTCCCATATCTACATGGTATCCCAGATTTTTGCAGTCTGATTTATTTCAAAATATGAATACAAATTTTTTTATTTCCCAAGCTTTTGCCAACACAAGATTATTATTCAAATGTAGTGACTAATAAAATTAACAAGGACTTGAGGGCTTCATAAAAGAATGGCAACACAAAAAAGAGAACCTACAATCCACAGAGTTATTTGTTCCTAAATTCCATTGTCCAGCTCCGCCCCTATGTTGCTGGGAATCTTCTCATCACAAATATTAGCCTAAAATCTGTTCCTACTCTGCAAGTTGTAAGGCTCAGCCCCGCTCTCACTTTGTATTTCAATCCAGGAAACCAAAATACCAGTTAACAGTAATTTCAGTACATAAGGACATCTACTCTTTAATGTTTATTATTCATGCATTCAATCATTAAACAATTTTTATTTTTATTGTTCAACCTTGCCCTTAAAAATAGTTTTTTTATCTCCCACTGCCTTCTTTTGGCCTAGCTAATCACTCAATATTTTTCCCCAAAGAGTAAAAGTGTCCTTATCAAGTAGGTATACTTGCATTTAGACCTTTAGAAATCACACACACACACACACACACACACACACACACACACACCCTGCAGGTTCCTAATTAGATTTTCTTTACTGAGCTCAGTTACCTGTAAGAATTCTTTGTTGTGGCTCATGTTCAAAACACTTCTGCTTTTACAGTCTTCCAAGATAGTACATAAATTAAAAAAAAAAAAAAACTATTTGGAATTCTACTCTACTTTGGCAATGTGATCCAAAGAAGATATTTGTTCCCTCCCTTAATAAACTATAGGAATAAAGGTTCTTTCAACTATTTTTATCATTATAAATAATGCTGGCATAAAGAAATTATTTTATTCTTTGCATTGATAAATACAGAATACAGATTTAAGTTTGTAGTTGGTAGAACTGCTAGGAAAAAGGATGTGTATTTTTCAGTAGAGAAAAACAAAGGAAACGTGATCCTTATTAGTGAATACAGAAACATCAAGAGATTATAAACAAAAAGGACAAGATAAGATGACTAATACCAAACATATCAGCTATAACAAAAAACTTTCAAATAGGGTAAAAATTAAAACCCAATTCTGGGCTGTGTCAAAAAAAACAAAAAAAACCCTGAAAAACAAGTAGGAGAAGGACCTAAGCTACAATGTATCCACATTAGGAAACATGTAGCAATTAAAAAGAATTTGGTTATTTACCTATTCTATTCATTCAAACATGGAATGTTCTTCAAGACATAGTCGATTAAAAATCAAAGTATAGTATTTAAGGCATACTTTCATTTATTTAACACAAAACAAAACTCTGTACTTCATATGTACAAATATATGTAGGCAAATAACCCATTTAGAGAGATGACAGGTGTTACGTCTAAAGAGGGGACTAGAGATGCAAGATGGCAGCCACCACGGGCTCGGACAATTTATGAAAACCAAATATACAGCCTTAAAACAGAATGTGGACCTAAATACCCAGAAGCACCCCCCTTTGTAAGATTTGTAACAAAAATTAATATGAATGGAGTTAATAGTTCTAATGGAGTGGTGGACCCAAGAGCCATATCAGTGCTAGCAAAATGGCAGAATTCATATAGCATCAAGGTTGTCCTGCAAGAGCTCCGGCATCTAATGATGTCTAAAGAAAACATGAAACTCCCTCAGCCGCCTGAAGGACAGTGTTACAGCAATTAATCAAAAAGAGAACCACAGGCCCTCCCCCTCCCATTCGATTTAAACAGTCATTTTCCACAGTAGTACATTTTCTAGAAACGTCTTGTAGACTTCAAAGTACTGGAAAGGAAGCTCCCATTCAAAGGCAATTTATCTTAAGATACTGTAAACGATACTAATTTTTTGTCCATTTGAAATATAAAAGTTGTGTTATAACAAAAAATAAATAAATAAATAAAGAGGGGACTAGGACTAAGTGGGATTCAAGGGGGCATTCATTGGATATGTATTGTTTCTATTTTTTTACAGAGAGAATTTATTTACCTCTTATATTTAAACTTACAAATACATTAAAAAATTTTAAATAGGGACAACAACACCTATTATTGCTTGAATTAGAAGACTCGTTATTTTAAAATGTTATTGTTTCTTCTAAATGAATTTATAAAATAATGTAATTCCAATCTGAATAGTAACATGATTTTTTGTTTTGCATTTACATTGTTTCTACTTTTTTTTTCACAGTTAAAAACGTCTGTAAATTATTCTCATTGACCCTTGACTCTGGAGAGAGGACTCGGCGATGAATTCTCTAACATGAAACTTCAAGCTTAATGTTACCCCAATAGGAAATCTTCCTTTGATGCTCAAACAATAGTTCCCCTGTGACAAATGGAGGAGGTGGCTTTTTTTCAAACTATCTATTGTCAGAGATGGAACTTTGTGCTAAGAGAGCACCTTCATCTCTATGGTACAAATTCTGTGCCTTTCACCAGTAGGTGGTTTGTTTTGTTTTTTAATTCTGTCTGTATTGTTCTCAACAATTCAAAGGGTATATTTTCTCTTCCCACATCAATCTTTCATCTTTATTTTCATTTAGAGGCAAAAGAATATATTTATCCCCCTCAGTAATTTTCTGGATATAAAGCAATAAAGTATATTTTCTCACTTAGTACTTCTAAGACATATAGGCAACATAATTGAATCAAAAGAGATTTGGTGAAACATGCAGTAGGTCTTACCTTTCTATAAAACAAGAAGTAGAATGACCATTTGACTGATGAACTGGGGAGAACTGATCCTGTGTCACCATATCCAGGGAATGTTAAGAAGCAGATTAAGAAGCAGACATAGGTTCAGGTCCAAGATGGCGATCTAGGAAGATCCTGAACCTCCCTCCCTCCAGGAACACATCTATAGCTACATATGGAACAATTTCCTCTGGAAAACAAAACAAAACAAAAACCTTAAAAACTAGCAGAGTGACTCCTTCACTCAGAGGTTAACATGAAAAAAACCACACTGAAGCAGATAGGAAAGGCTGAGAAACAATCTTGCCATAATTTCCCCCACCCTGCCCTGTGGCCTTTAAGTCCCACACCTGGGAGGCAGCCCCCAAAATGTCTGGCTCTGAAGACCAACAGGGCTTGCGCCCCAGAGATCCATGGTCTGTGGTGAACTGAGGTGAGGGACCTATTAAAGGGCCCTCGCACAGACTCACTGGCCCCAGGGCTCAGCGCAAAAGCAGCCCTTTGAAAACTACCCAGACTACGTGAAAGAGGCTCACTTGCTAATTTTAAACCATCAGACAGAGGCAGAGGGGATACTCTCTGGGGGAAGGAGGCTGGTGGAAGCCAGCTTTGCGCTCCCTGTCTGCCTGCCTTGTTAAAGCTGGTGGGTGCCATCTCTTTTCCCCTTTTCTCTTTTTTTGGCAGGTGCTATCTTTGCAGTCCCCATCTACATCCCTCCAGCTGGAGGGCACCATCTTAACACTCTCCCTTGCCACACTATATATGGCCAGTGTCTCCCAGAAAGGAGCCCCAATTTTTATGACTGCTGCCCAGGGCATACCTTCACATTTCCTGGTTCTGGTGGCCATTGGAGCTTACACTTGTGGTCCCACAGGACTGTATGTATTTGCATTCTTTATTTAAATAAATTTTTTATTCAGGTATAATTAACATACAGTGTTAAATTAGTTTCAGATATACAATATAATGATTCAACAATTCTATACATTTCTCAGAGCTCATCAAGATAAGTGTACTCTTAAACTTTTTTTTTTTGAGATAGAATGGGGGAGGGGCAGAGGGAGAGGGAGAGAATCATAAGTAGGCTCCACCCCCAGCACAGAGCCCGACATGGGGCTCGATCTCACAACCCTGAGATTATGACTTGGGCCAAAATCAAGTCAGATGCTTAACTGATTGAGCCATCCAGGCTCCCCAGGATAAGTGTACTCATAATTATATTTGCATTCTTTAAAAGCTGCTGCCTGAGAGTCTGGCTTCCAATCAGCCTCAATCTAGATACTGACTGAGATCCTCCTCTTTGAGACACTGACTGGTCTTGGTACACCCTCAAATACTGGGAGCTATTAAAAATAAAATAGGCTGCTTTGACAATTACAGAGGCTTGAGAGACAACCAAGAACTATGACAGGGTTGAACTGTAGGTTCATCTCCTACATGAGGCTATTTTAAGACCGGGAGAGATGGCTATTTCATCTAATGCATAAAAACCAACACAGAGAGTCAAGCAAACTGAAGGAACAGAGGTGAATGTTCCAAAAAAAGAACAAGATAAAACTTCAGGGGAGGGGTGGGAAACTTAATGAAACAGATAAGTGATAGTACCATGTTGAATGGCAGTGATGAGAGTAATATCCTTGTCTTGTTCCTGATCTAAGGAAGAAAAGTAGTCATTCTTTTACCATCAAGTATGATGTTTATTTTTTTAAGATTTTATTTATTTGTCAGAGAGAGAATGAGAGTGAACATAAGCAGGGGGAATGGCAGGCAGAAGGAGAAGCAGGCTCCCCACTGAGCAAGGAGCCCAATGCCGGACTCGATTCCAGGACCCTGGGATCATGACCTGAGCCGAAGGCAGACACTTAACGACTGAGCCACCCAGGTGTCCCAAGTATGATTTTATTAAACATAACCTGATTTTCCTAAGATAAACCCACTACGCCATGTATAATCCTTTATGTATATTGTTGGATTCCATTTGCTAAGATTTTATAAACAGTTGTGTCCATATTCATGAAGAACAATGGAAAGTAGTCTTTTTTCTTACATTTTTCTGTTTTTGGAATAAGCCTAATGCTCCCTGTGGAATGAGTTGGAAAGTATTTATTCCTTTTCAATTTTCTGGAAGAGTTTGTGTAGAATTGGTTTTATTTCTTCCTTGGTTGAATTAAAAAGTAAAGCCATTTGGGCTTGGGCCTTTCTTTTCTTTTTTGGAAGGGTTTTATCTACAAATTTAATTTTTAACAACAGATACGTCTATTGGGGCAATCTATTTCTTGAAAGAACTTTGGTAGTGTGTCTTTAGAGCAATTTATCCATTTCATACAACTTTTAAAATTAATTAGCATAAAGTTGTTCATATTATTTTATTATTGTTTTAATATCTATAGTGATATCTGTCATTTCTCATTCCTGGTAATTAGTAATTTCCATTTTCTCTATTCTTATTTTTTTTCTGGGGTTTTAAGGCTTATGATTTTATTAATCATCTCAAAGAAGCAGCTTTTGATCTCATGAGTTTTTCTTTTTTTTTTTTTAATTTTATTTATTTATTTGAGAGAGAGAGAGAGAATGAGAGAGAGAACACGAGAGGGGGGAGGGTCACAGGGAGAAGAACACTCCCTGCTGAGCAGGGATCCCGATGTGGGACTCGATCCTGGGACCCCAGGATCATGACCTGAGCCGAAGGCAGTCACTTAACCAACTGAGCCACCCAGGCGCCCCTCATGAGTTTTTCTTTATGTCTTTTCTATTTTCTGTTTCATTCAGTTCACCTCTTAGTTTTCTTATTTTTTTTTTATTTGCTTATTTGGAGTTTAATTTGCTCTTCTTTTTCTAGTTTCAAGAGGTGGGACTGAGGTCATTGTTTTTAGACCATTGTTCTTTCCCTCTCAGAATTATTTTACCTATATCCCACCAATTTTGACAGATTGTTTTCATTTCATTTAGTTCCAAACATTTTATAATTTTCCTTTGACCAATGAGTTATTTAGAAGTGTTTAGTTTTCAAATATTTGAGGATTTTCCAGACACCTTTTTTGTACTGATTTCTAATTTGATAACATGTGGTCACAGAACAAACTTTCTATGATTTGACTCCTCTTAAATGTAATGAAACTTATTTTATGGCCCCGAATATGAACTTAGTAAATGTTTTACATGTATTTGAAAAAGTTCTGTTTTTGAGTGTATTGTTCTATACAGGCCAGCTAGTTCTGGTTGGTTGATGGCATATTTCTGGTTGGTTGATCAAGTCTTTATACTTGTTGATTTTGTTTCTACTTACCTCAATTATATAGAGAGATCTGTTACGTTTATGACTATATTTGCGGACTTGTCTATTTCTGTTTCCACGTCCATTAGTTTTGGCTTCATGCATTTTGAAGCTCAGTTATTAGATATATACACTAAGGATTGTTACTAAATGAATCAATCACTTATCATTATTACTCTCTTTACCCTTGCTCATATCCATGTTCTGACATCTAACTTGGCTGATGTTAATATAGCCACTTCAGGTTTCCTTTGTTTAGTGATGGCATAGTATGTATATTTCCAGCCTTTTATTTTTTTGTCTATGTGTGTCTTCATACGCAACTAATGAATCATTGAACACTACATCAAAAACTAATGAGGTACTATACAGTGGCTAACTGAACATAATAAAAAAAAATAAAGAAAAAATATTTACTGAGCACCAACCAAAAAGGAAAGAAAGAAAGAAAGAAAGAAAGAAAGAAAGAAAGAAAGAAAGAAAGAAAGAAAGAAGAAAGAAAGAACACTGTAAAAAAAATAAAGTGAATTGTAGATTTACAGTAAACACGTAAGTGTTTTTTAGGGTGGGGGCATAGGCAAATCTATGTGGAGTGCCTCCCAATGTTCTAAAATCATGGTAAATTAAAGGGAAAATGGTTGTTTTATCGATTCCTTCATCCTCTGGGCCAGTAGGGGATTGATAACATACTGTAACCCAGAAAAGGAACATGGGTTAAAACT